ATAAGAGATTAGCTGTTCAGAAAAGATTGTTAATGATGACATTGAGAGAAGCTTTTAATCGCTTTAATGAAATGTACGTCAATGTAAAAATAGGGTTTTCATCATTTGCAAGCCTCCGGCCAAGGCAATGTAAACTATTGACTATCACAGGAACACATAATGTTTGCGTTTGCACTACGCATGAAAATGTCAATTTAATTCTACATAGCTTAAAAAAATACAATGTCTTGAATGATCTAAAAACATTAACGAATAGATTACTTTGCGAAAATAAGACAACTCATTGCCATCTACGAAGATGTAAAAACTGCCCAGATACCTCAGTTTTAGAAGACAGTTTATTGAAACAACTGGAAGAAAACTTTGTTGAAAAGCTTTCATTCGAACAATGGGTTACCACTGACAGATGTGATTTAGAAACTATTGTAAAGCAAACCGATGAGTTTGTTTCATTTTTCAGCTCAAAATTAGAAAGTTTGATTCCGCATGATTTTGTAAAAACCGAACAATCCAATTTTTTGAAAACTACAAAACAAAACTTGCAAGATGGTGAATTTTTAGCTATTTGTGACTTTTCTGAAAATTACAGCTTCGTTTTGCAGGATGAAGTTCAATCACACCATTGGAACGTGCAACAGGCCACAATCCATCCTTTCGTAATATATTATACTGAAAATATGCAAAATAAACATTTACGCTTCATTATAATTTCTGAAGAACTAAGACATGATTCAGTCGCTGTCAATTTGTTTATTGATAAAATGATAAACTTTTTACAAATTGATCAAAATAAAAACATAAAAAAATTTATTTTATGTCAGATGGTGCTGCTTCACAGTATAAAAACCGAAAAAACTTTTCTAGCCTTTGTAAATTTAAGTCAAAGTATGGTATTGACGCTGAATGGCATTTCTTCGCAACATCGCACGGAAAAGGTCCATGCGATGCTATTGGAGGTACGATAAAAACGCATGGCTACCAGAGCAAGTTTAGCCAAAGAACGCGAACACCCGATAAAGACTGCAAGAGAGTTGTTTAATTGGGCAAACAAACGAAAAGAAGAAGAACTTACAAAGTTGTCATTTTGTTATTCTACTACAGAAGAATACGAAAATATGTCTTTGCAGCTAAATAATCAATATAATAATGCAAAAACAATTCAAGGAACTCTAAAATTCCACTCATTTCTTCCTCTATCAGAAAATACAATAAAGGCAAAGCTTTATTCAAACTGTCCTGACAATGATGCCAAAATATTCAATATTGTTAAGAAAGTTGTGTAAACAATAATTTTATAAAAATACAGGAATAAAAATAAACTGATGATATCCAACATATAATGTTATTTTTTATTGCGCACAATCACCATCCCTGAAAAATAAGCTTAATTCGCTCTTTTGAATCTTGCTAATTGAGGAGCTTACATTTGCAGTTCTCAAAAAGGTGTATCTCGAAATCGAGTTGTCTCATCGGTTTGATGTCTGTGGCGATGTTCGGCAATAGAGAGAAAATATGCACAGTATAAACACATCCAGTTTAAATGGATTAAACTGTTAGGCGATATGCAAGAGTTGAATGCACATTTTCAGCACAACGCACCAAAAATCACTTGAAGAAATCATTGTTCCTGATAGTGGGATTTTGTAACTTGTTTTTCAAAATACTTTTAAGGCAGAGAATTTCACTCGAATCTTTAAGCTGTCAGTGTCATTTTAACTCAAAATTTTCCAATCTTTCCGAAAAAAATACTTTTGAAACTGGAAAAACACGGAGTACATCCGAAAAGGGCCAAAACTTATTAAGTTATCAAAAAAAACAATATTAAATCAGTAATATCTTCTAAACGGTGCATCTAAGAAAAATGTTACCGAAGTACTTTTTGTTTGCAAATTTGATGTACTTTCATAAAATTAGGATGACAAACTTTTTTAACTTTTTTTAATAGCTTTTTTGAAAATTGTATTTTTTTAAAAAACAATTTTTTTCATTGTAACCTATTTTTCTCCAGAACAACCTACTGTGCACTAGATAGCATTTTTAGTCAGCTATAACATAAGGATAATAAAAAAATTATTGACATGTCACTTTAAAGGGAAAATTTATATTTTAGTTCAAAACACAAATACCAAACTTTTTTTTTACCGTGCATATTTTTTTCCATATAACACCAACAATTGTCTATAAACATCGCACAAGACACCAAACCAATCGGACAAACCGTTTCCGAGATACAATTTTTTGAAGATATCATGTGCATTTTTCATAGGCCCTTCTCATAAGTAAGGCTAGATTCAAAATGGCGAACCAAGTATGCAAAACGGCGTTTTTCTTCCCCAAAAACTTGTATGCAAGGTTTCATGCAAATCAAAAAAGATGAAAATTACTCGTTGCTTTAATGATATGGAACCGCTCACCTACATAACGATCCAACGGAAGACGTAGCAGGTTCGAATGTTGGAGAAAATGAATATGAAAGGTTGAAGGACTGCAATCCCAAACGGTACGCATTGATAAAAAAAATATTTCCATTTTAGATGTTGTCAGAACATGAAACCACCGGATAGTGATCGTCTGTATGCTTTAACGATTATTGGAATCGACCGATTCCTTCCAGAGAATGATAACAAAAGTATCGAATTGGCCAGTGACATTCAAATCAGGCATAACATTTGATAACGGCACAAAAGCATTTGTAAACAAACTTTCTAAGGCCCTTTACACGCGAACCAAAGTACGTCCACGCAAACCAACAACATCATCGGATAAGGGCAACTATCACCTTTCCGAAAGTGGTATTGGTTTGCGTGGGCGTACTTTGGTTCGCGTTTAAAGGGCCTTAAAAAGTTTGTTTACAAATGCTTTTGTGCCGTTATCAAATGTTATGCCTGAAATGGTCAGCGAGTACTGTGCCAAATTGCCAAGCGTCACAACTTAACTCCCCCCGCTGTGGCTAGTTGTCAAAGCCGTGCGGAACGGGCATGCATTTTACTAATGCTCCATACGAATGTCCATAAATGCATCACTAAAGAGCTTAGGGAAAGTGGAAGATAATTCTGAGATAGCAAATTAATGATCTAGGAAAGTCCCATCACCTTTGTGAATGGCATCATTGCCATAGTTTTAATTTTCAAAACAAATTTACGTACGCATCTGTTCAATTTCAGCTGGAATTTTACTCGTTGTCAGCATAAAGCAATGAAAGAAACGTTCCACTTTTTACAACAATCATAACAAAACCTATAATTCAGGCATAACATTTGATAACGGCACAAAAGCATTTGTAAACAAACTTTCTAAGGCCCTTTACACGCAAACCAACACCACTTTTGGAAAGGTGATAGTTGCCGCTATCCAATGACGTTGTTGGTTTGCGTAGGCGTACTTAGAAAGTTTGTTTACAAATGTTTTTGTGCCGTTATCAAATGTTATGCCTGAATTGACTGCTATTTATTTCTACCTATGTGTGTGAATGCACTTGTGAATTAACACACACCATCATACACGGGTTCCACTTTTGCTCAGAAGAGGCGTTGCCGTTACTGTCTCCTGATTTTGGCAGAGTTGCCAGTCTTCTTGATTTGTAGTCTTCGCTACTATGTTGTTTTTTGTATTAATTTATTTGTTCGCTACTATGTTAATCACTGTGATTTTTTTTTTGCAGTACTCAGAAGTGCTTTACATACATTTTTACCAATTTATTGCCAAAAGATGTGGTTTAGAGACGACACTCGTCTTGCCCCATATGGTCATCTAATCCCATTTCCCCTGCTATGATAAACTAAGGCTGTGAACCATTTGCTGAGTTAAATTTAACTAGTGGGCAGGCATGGAAAATCATTTGCATTCATTTCATACATTCGTTTACATTCATTTGCCTCTAAATTTTTTCATCAACAGTTTTCCGCAAAATTATGTATAGAGTTTTTGTAGGTGTTGTTATTAGCTAAAAGTTTTGCGCATAACTCAAATCTGTATCTCTTATGCATCACGAACTAGAGTGGGCAGAACTTGTTACTGTTTTTCAGTGAATGTAAAATACATTCACTGAAAAACAGTAGTGGCTTCTGTTCGCTCTGCTTCGTCATGCATAAGAGATACGGATTTGACTTGTTCATACAACATTTTGCGGAATGCTGTTGAAGAAAAAAGTTAGAGTCAAATGAATGTACATGAATGCACGAAATGAATGCAAAAGATTTTCCATGCCTGCTAGTGGGCAAAAGTGACATTTCGTAAGTTATTTTCTATGGATCGACCGGTTTTCGAGAAAAACTTAGCCAAAGTTGTCAAAATTTAACTTCTTGTCTGTCAGAAGTAGCCACGCTCGGATAACAGGCAGGGTGGCCAGATTATTTTTTTCATTGTCGGTAGCTTCTGAAAACTTTTATCGGTAGGCCGTCTGAAGAAGGCTTTCCCGATACTTGAAACCTTTGCTTTAAACGTGTCGAAATCAATATTTCTAACTCTCGACTTTCTCTGTTGATAACCACTGCTATGCAAACAGGCGCATTGCGCATCTCGAAACGAAAAACTTTTTCATACAAGCGTTCGTACAAAAAGTCTTTCGTTTCGAGATGCGCAATGAGCCCCAAGATTTCGCGCTAATTTTACAACAAAGTTTGATAAAGGAGATCCTTATCTAGCATCCAAAACGTCAAATACAATAGGGAAAGGTTTTGCAGCTGAGTTATTAAAGGAAGAGAAAGTCGATGAAGATTACTAAAAATCTGTGATTCTCGGTAGGAAAAGTGAAAAATCGGTAGTTTTTAACCTTTTGTCTGTGGATCGGTAGGCATCCCGAAAATTAGTATGACTACCGATAAATCGGTAGGTCTGGTCACCCTGATAACAGGGTTAATCGATAACTTTCCATCTGTCAAATTTTAACCAAAAGTTAAAATAATACACCAAATGGTTCATAACCTAAGCGAGCCTCGCTATTCGAAGATCCAAGAACGTCTTACGTCTTACGTCCTACGTTAAACGATATCCAAACTCACCTCGACTGATCAGCTTGAACTGCATGCCCATAATGCCGTTCGTCACTCCTCCGCCGGAACCGCACGCCTCCTGCTGCGTCGGCCCCGACGACCGATTCTGATGGTCACTGCTGGTGCTGGTGTTGCTACTTCCGTTGTCCAATCCGGCCCCGCTCAACCGGTCTCCATTTTGACGGCTCTGTTCCGAGTGCAGCTGTTGTTTCTGGAGCTCCCGCTCCCGTTCCCGTTGCAACTCTCGCTCCCTTTCCCGCTGCAACTGCTGTGCCTGCTGCTGATGGTGCAGCAACTGTTCCCTCTGAAGCTGTTCCAACTGCAACTGCTGCTGGCGCTTCAACTTGTCCGCACTGCCACAGCGTTCCCGTTCCCGCTCCAACAGGCTCAGATTAAGACTGGCCAAATGGTTCACCTGGACCTGTTCGCGTTCCCTTTGGGCGGCCGCCAGTGCCGCAGCATGCTCTGTGATTCTGTTCAATGCCAGCGGATGTGCCTCGTCAGTCATGGACATGTCTTCGTCTTCTTCCTCTTCCTCCTCGTCGGGGATGTCCTCCTCGTGGTGACGGAGACCGTTTTCCCCGCGCAGATTGATCGGGGTACCATCGGATCGGGCATCATCTTCATCGTGCGAGGATATGTTCAGCTTTTGTGGGGTCAACGAACGGACATGGCCGTGCAGTTGCTGTTGCTGAAGTTGTTGCTGTTGCTGCTGCTGTTGTTGCTGTTGTTGTTGTTGTTGAAGTTGAGCAGCGACGGCGACGGCCGCAATCGAGTTGTTGTTGCTGCGCTTTGCCGGTGGAATGCCACTGTGATAGTCACGAGCCGAGGAGCGGTCCGAAGTGAAGTCCATCGCGTGTTCCCGTTCGCGCTTGATCGACATGTGATGCGGTGGGGATTCGGCCAGATTCAGGGCTTCCCTGTAATGGAAGAGACTTTGGGTGAGATGGTGTTAAAATGGATCGAAAAGTGTGATCAGTGGTGGAAGGTTATGGTTATAGAGTAGACTTGAGACATACCTTTGCATCTCCGGTGGGCTGGTGTTGAGCGAGTTCGGCGGGCTGGTGTTGTTGTTGTACATGTTCCACAGAGCGACGCGGGACATTTCCAGCGCATTCAGGGCATCCCGCGGGGTCATCTGCTGTTCCGGGCTCTGTTCGCGTTTCATCTCCTTCGGCTGGAACAGTTTGATGTAGTCGAGCATGCGCTGTTCGAACTCCGCCGGCAGAATGTTCGGAATCTGGCCCACGTTCGGTGCCCCCAGGAGGCGGTGGTGCTGCTGCTGGTTGACGTGGGTAACCAGCGATAGGGGCGACATTTGCTGAATGCCCTGTGGAATGGGCGAACGTTGAACCGTTGGCTGTTCGATGGGAGAAAAGGGAAACACATTTCGCTTGTTGTAAGTATAAATGCATACACACGATCGTCGCTTAGCAAAAACATGAGATCAATTTGCAGTTTTATTGCCTGTTTGTTTAGCCAACAGGGCGTTTATTAATGAATGAGTGAATGAAAATACAGATGAATAATCAACCACGATCGGACCACGTCAGGCGAGATACGGGCTGTTTTGAGGGGGCACTGCTGGGATCAGTACGGGATGGGTTGGGAGCTGGGATCCGGAAGGCAGAAACGTGCGCATAAATCAACGTGGGTAATGAGGATTGAGGGCATCGTATTGATTGTGTGCGATCCATCAATATGCAGTGTGTTGATCTGGTTTTCAATCTGAATCTTGAGACACCATCTTACCGAATCAAACTGTCCATAGCTGGAGCGTCGACCCTCGCGTCGATTCCCGTCGATCGCGGCCTGCAGTTCGGCCGGGGAGCTCAGGTTCTTCTTCTCGCACTCGTACGGATAGAGATACTTCATGTACCTAGAAGTAAAGCAAGCGAAAGAAAAGTTGTAAAACATTGTTGGATATCGTTGTTAATACAAATGGGCGACAGTTCTAATTGATAAAGCAAACACAATGTTGACCGACGGAAGAAAGCGGCTGAGGAAAGCAGCATTTATTTCTCCTTATTCATTTTCATAAATAATTAATCTTCTCCTCTGCTGTGTTGCGGTGGTGTACAAGTGCATTCCCGTTTTCTGACCGTCGATCGTCGTGTAGAAGTTGGTAGGTAGGTACATAAACGCAAATGCAGCCCAAGTTGGTTGGTTGGTTGGTGCTTTCATTCACACTCTCGTCTCAGTCGGGAAGCGTTGCAATGCAATGCCAGTCCGGAATGTGATCGAACCGAGTGAGAAAAAGGTAGAGTGAAACACGTTTTTATAATGATTAAATTAAACAACAAACAAATAGAACCATCAAACAAACTTGTTAAACCATCGAAACGACCTCTCTTCTCCGCCGTGTTTTTCTCGTCTGTGGTCGGTTGTTGGTGCTGCGCTGTACCGGGACCAACCTATGATGCGGAGTTTGGATTCATGCCTTTGGCAAACCCGAAAGGGTGAATGATCGAATGCATCTCACCTCTTGAGCTGAATAGTCGCCAGCGGAGAAGGATTTTTTGTAGCATCGGAATGGATTCAAAACTTTAGTGTTTGATACGTGTTAAACTAGAAATAGTGTGTTGCTCTGAACACGTAAAATTTCGTTTAAATGAAAATAATCCGATGTCCCAGTCTTTGTTGATTTAGTGGACCATTTGATATGCGCATAGGTTTTATGAATCTACTTGGACATGTTTCGCCATTGCGGACAATTTCTCTGGTTGATCCAGTTTATCAATTGACCTAAACTCCTAGACTAGACGATTTTGATGGGATGGGATTATACATTTAAATTGATTTAAATTTGATTGTGCGATATACATTTAAATTGATGATAAAGGGTGTCCCACATAAAATTGCATCACGGAAATAACGCTGTAGAAAATTACCCATTGGGTATTTTCTCTTTAAAATTTGGGTAGAAGTAGTTTTGAGTGTATTGTTTACACTGTATTTTTATCGCTGTCAGTTTTTCGAAAGCTGGAAAAAATGGCGTCACCCGAAAAGCAACGTCGCGAATTGATTTTGCGCAAGCAGCTGGAAAATCCACAACTCTCTCATCAGGACATCGGAAAACAACTCGGAATCGTGCAGTCAACGCCCAAGTAACAATTCAGTGACCATTTGGCATCCACTCTGATTTATGATGGTTTTATAACGGCAATGAACTATCCATTTAGTTTAAATACAGCATTTCAAAGTGTAAAACATTCTTGCCTAGTGATTCAGCGTTTTCCTGTTTTAAAAACCTTTTATAATCTGGCAAGAAAGTCAAAAACTGTCTTGTTTTGAAAATAAATTTAAAACAGTCCTCAATCCCTCCTTAAAACTGTTCTGTAATTCAAGCATAACCGTAATTAGCAATTGCTTATTCATGTCTAGATAAAATGCTTTATAAACGTGTTCTCTTATTATAAAAGCAACCGTAAAACCATTCGGTGTTGCATTAGAGCAAAAAATATTTATTGTTGCCTTTAAGGCTTTATCAATGCATCATAAACTATCCAATTACTCTGTTAACAAATTAAGCTTAAAAGATGGTTCCTCATAGTTAATAAAAGCCAAATTTATGACAAGGAAATCTCGAAGGATAGACGAAGTAGGATGATAAATTCAAGTTGATTTCAGCAAAATTAACCAGCACATCATCTGGCGGAGAAGAGTAAAGTGAGCGTGGCTCTCGAATTCATAAAACATTGCCGAAGTTTTAAAACATACCAGCCTTCTTCAGATCTTGCGAATAGATGACAATCAAAATAACAACCGACAGCAAACCACTGAAACTGTTAGTTAGCGAAGATTAGCTGGTTTCCAATCCATAGTAGCGATTTTATTCGACGAAACAATCAACTCCCTGCATCGTTGGATGGTGCACTTTTGTAACCATCCGGAAGAAGGGGATCTTTTTCGGGAACGATTGCGCTTCCAGCTGTTTGAAATGCGAAATGTTGTAAAACAGTATCGCAAACTATCTGAGTAACTGCTCACAATCCATCTGGAGAAAACTGCCTGGAAGCAACTATCGAAAGATAAACAAACTTTGACGTTTAACTTTTTGCAGGCAACTTTGCCTCCATAAATGCTGCCACAAATCTGAACGGGTTTGGATCAAACAAAATGGTCAGACTCGATCTGAAGAATAATTAATTATTTTCAATGTTAAATAATTAGTCAAATCGACGTTTTACGAGGGCGGACTTATTTTTTTCGATGTTTTGACGTACATTTTACATCACATTTACTAAGGCACTTAAAACTAGGCCACTTAATGAGAACTATTTTAATAAATTTGGACATCTTGTTGAATGATTTTTATACCATCAGTTTCTATTTTAATTATTTTGATAAGCTCGGATTCATAGATCCTTTACTATCTTGATTGATGCTTTCCTAGTGGATTAAACAAGGGGCTAGGGGAAATGGCTCGGAAAGAGTTTTAATTATTGCTAAATAGCTTTTATTGTAGCTTTTAAAAGGTTCTCAATGCGTTTGTCATACAACCTTTTGCAGTAAATCAATCTTGAAGAGCTTCGAGAATACAACCTTTAGAACCTTCTCCAGGGTGGGCCAACTAGTCATATTCCAGTCTTAACGAGGTTTTGGTGGATGCGTTAATGACAAAATAGCCTTGACCAGGGTTTTATGAATGTTGTTTTATAGTTGCTTTGTAGTATTTCATAAAACTTAAAATGTTACTTGGGTGGTGAGTCGTGTGATTAAACGTTACTATACGAAACTCTGGACATCGAACAGAAAGAGAAATCCGGCCAGAATGGATGTTCTATTAGTGATCAAGTTCACAGGCGTGTCGTGAAAGCGTTTAATCGGAATCACAATGCTTCGTTCAGTGATGTGGCCAAACAGTTGAATCTGTCCAAGTCTTTCGTACAGAGAGCCAAGGACCAGGAGGGACTGCATACGTACAAAGTGCAGAAGGCTCCAAATCGTGACGAACGCCAAAATACGGTGGGAAAGTCACGGGGCCGGAAACTGTACACCCAGATGCTGACCCAGAAACCTCATTGCCTCATCATGGATGATGAGACTTACGTCAAGGCGGACTTCCAGTAGCTTCCGGGGCTACTGTTCTTCACCGCCTAGCACAAGTTTTATGTTCCGGAGAAAGTAAGGAAGCAGAAACTTTCAAAGTTTGCCAAGAAATAGGGTTACGGTATGTAATGTGGGTCTAGTCCTTTCATTCGGCCTATCACGCAAATAAATAATTAATTAAGGAATATTACACAAAAAATAAGGAAAATATTGATCACTGATGATTGATAAATGTGTACCACACACAAATCAATTTATATCACAACATTTCAATACATTTTCAGCTCTCGTAAGTAATAAAACTGGTTGAGAATATCACTCTGTTCGGAGTTTTTAGCCGCCATGACTTCTAAGGTTAAGATGGGAAGGTTGCACTGACGATCATCAAATGGCCTGATTATGGCATTTATTGAATGGAATTACCTGATAATACACACTAGACGTAAAACTCACAGTTACTGTTTGAATATTTTATGTTTATTTTAATTGTTTAACAACGTTTTCACAAGTAAATCATGGACCCAACTTTAGGGACACATTTCTTTTCTATGTTCCTAACTTTGGCCCATGAAATTCATTTGACAGCATATAGCAATAAGAGTAACGTCAACAATGTGGTTTGCATTTGGATGATAAGGAACGAACAGGAAGGGAGATTTTTTCTGCCAAATCTGTATAATGAACATCACAATGTTTTGATTTAGATATTCTGCGGTCGAAAGACGATAAGCGAAATTTTTAATTTTTAATTTTTAACTTGAGTGATTTAATGTAGTTTTCGTAAAATTTTCTCTAAGAAATGTTTTGAGGAATGAAGAGTATTAAGTTAACAGTGATAGTGATAAAAAAAAATACATAAGAAAACGTTACCAAGAGCGTTTTTTTTGAGAATCAAACAGGATAGGACGAAGTTGCATCCATAAATAGACCCAATTTGGGGACAATAGACCGATATTACATACATTTCCCTGGTGAGTTTTTGTCTTAAAAAAAGTAAGTTTTTCAACTTTTTGCGGTTCCTGATAGCAAACGACATGATAAGCATATCTAAGCATACCATTTAGCAGTAGAATATCGTTTGCAGGTAAATTCATTGATGAGTTATGATTAAAAACGTAATCTATGGCTGCATATTAGACCGAGGTTAGGGACGTATACCCTACATGATTTGGCAAGCGATCTGCTCATGTGGCAAACGGAGTGCGCCGTTCGTGATTACCGGGACTGTAAACGGGGAGATCTACCTCAAGGAGTGTCTACAGAAACGTCTGCTTTCTCTATTCAAGCAACACGAGGTTTCTTCGATCTTCTGGCCGGATCTAGCTGGTGCGCCGGCGTGTGCGGAGTGGTGCGAAGCTATCGAGGTCACTTTCGTACCCAAGGACATGAACCCCCCAACACACCGGAGCTAAGGCCCATTGAAAAATACTGAGCTATTATGAAGCAGACACGACGGAAGCATCCCAAGGAGGTCAAATCTGAGGAAGACATCAAGGAAAAGTAGATTTCAGTACAGAAGAAGCTGCAGCCAGATGTTGTACAGAATCTCTAGAGAAAGACGTGTGTGCAGTAGCAAGTCCGATTTAATGCTACATAAAGTTTTCAGTTATTGATAACGGGTAAACAAGTTCTTAACTACAGAAATCAACTGCTCCTTCGATCCAACTCTTCACCCCCCTCTCAGTTGATGGTCTCCAATCCTATCTTCGTTCTCAAAAGTGTTAAAGCCGGGGCTGGAAGTGACTTTGTAAGAATGTCCGCTTCTTGCTTCTGGGTTGGTACACATACAAGTTTCACCTTTCCGTCTCTATATGCTTGACACGTTTC